AAATGTGTTTCAGGATAATTGCGTTTCTCTGATAAATTTTTTGAAGTTGTCGTTTTTTAAAGAGCTGTTTGATATAAAATTTTCACACTAATACTTTTAATTACTTTAAGCGAGCAGAAAGGTAATTATCATGAATAAAATAGAGAGAAAAAGTTATTTTTCAAAGCAAGACAAAATTAAGCTCGCAATTTCTATTCTCTCCAGCAGTTACTACCACAAACATCTAATAGATTCTGGATTTTACAGATTATATTTTTATTTGGCACCCATAGCTAAATTCCGAAAATCAAACACTTGTCGAAAAATATTTGTGAACAAGGAAAATTACAGCTTATCATAAGAAAAACGTCGATGAAACAAAAACATACTAGTGATGTGTAGAGCGATGTTGCAACATTGTTAATCTGTCATTGCATATTAAACAAAAATAAACTTTTTTTTATCTAATTCCTTTTATATTTTGTAATTCATGATTGCTAACTATGCTTTTTTAAAAATTTATGGTAATTGCCTTTAAAAGCTTAAAGAAATTTTCAGAGGTACGCATTTCTCAAAGATACAAATGTCGCGGGAGGCAAATGTCTGGTACGCAATTGTACTGGATACAAATGTCCATTATGCAAATGTCCTAGAACCCATCCAAAAATATAGAACACACATACCCTACATTTTAACCCATAGCTGAGTGGAGAAGATTTGTGTTATCGCCTTGCTCAAGGGCATTTGCGAAAGTGACGGCAACTGACTAGGCCGATTTTACGTTCCGATTTACGTTACGTTACATACACTATAATAAACTACTTGTTTAACATTTTACGATATGAAAATATTAGGACATCAACTAATAACTGAGTAAATCAGAAATGAAATCGTGCAAAAGAAAGTATAAAATGAAATAATATATTTCAATAAATGTGAATCTGTTAACAACAATGTCGGTGTATTGAATGGGAAAAAGTTTTCATTATTTCTCGCTCCCTTTTCTTTTATATTTTTCCTTGTCACATTTTCTCTATTTTTCATTTATTTTTGTTATTTTTCTTCGCTGTTTTCTTAATTTGTTTCGTACCTATCACTGTCATTGATTTCTTTTCTTTTCTTTTTTTCTCCTTTTCCTTACTCGTAGGCAGAGAACTGGACTTCGATTCTTGAATCAGCGTCAGTCTTTGGCGGGGTCTGGCAGCAAACAATTTATCAAAAACGTAACGAATGAAAATCTTGTCATTTTGCTTGTTTCGCTCAAGTTGTTGGGAAAAATGGCTGCAAATATTAATGTCGGACATTTTCTAAATGGCATTCAAAACAACCATCAGCCATTTTGAAGGCTAAAATGGCGTCAAATTATAAAAGATGCTTCAGTGAAGAAACTGAAAAAAGAAAACGAATAGAAGCCAATAGTAATTTTAAGGTTTTTCAAATCTAATACCACATTTCGATCCCAGCAACAGGCAATCCAGTTTACTGCGCAACTAAATAACTCCGTAATAGTTTGCTTATGTATGTATGTATATATGTATGTATGTACAGCGTACAGGCAGTGTAGCAGTTACCGGCGCGTAACTGGAAATCAACGAGCTGAGTTTCAAATTTTTTTTTACCATTTCGTTTTCAATTTTGCACAAATGCCATAGAGACAGGCATGATGAATATATTGCTTTTCCTCGAAGCTATTTGTTAAATAATAGGGTAGATATTATTTTCTAGCCTTAGATGACAACCAATTAACCAGGCAACGCTGCACTATATTTTTTAAAATGGCATTGTAATTCGTAGATAAGACAGAAAAAGATGCTGTGGAGAGCCATAATAATCTTGGACATGAAGTGACATGGCATTTTTTTTATACAGAATGTTCCCATTGATGCTCCCGAGTGAGTGCTTCTGTATTTTCGATGTTTTATAGTATCAACCATTTGGTAGCCTATGGTTTTATGATGGATATGAAGCACGCTTTTCAGTACAATTGGTTAGTGTAGTGAGTTCGGTCATCACAAAATGCGCAAATATTTAGGCCTTCTACCTGCCAACTTAAAGTTGGTAATCTTCTCTAGCTTCTTCCAAAGCTTGACAGTTCATTTACTGCTCAATGTTAACACTGCATAGACAGTGAAAAAAAAACGATTGAAACATCTAGAGGACCTTTATACAAGAATGCTACGTCTTGTCTTTGCAACGTTTTCGTTGAACATTTTAATGAGAACACAAGGCTTAATCTTAATCTCTTATGTTTAACTGTACATTTTATTCAACTCCAGGCTTCGTCAATGGCAGTCGGCCAATAGGTGTTTGGCCGTGGTGTTGTCTGCGAACATGGATTCTGCATTCATGCCAGGATATGAAAAAAGCTCACACTTCTTTTACCTCTCAGGTGATTAGTTATGTACGTACATCTCATTACGTCTCGCGTATGCACATTCTGGTTGCAGCTGGCTCGAACACATTTAAACGTCAGAAGCAGCCACTGATATCTAGTGAAAATAATCCACACAGGTGACTGATGACCCCAAGTAGAAGAAATCAACGGTGAAAAACAAGTAGGAATTTAACATGTAAGAAGAAGCTCAGAGCCTATATGCAAACTCAGTTATAATTGGAAAAAAGCTCGCAATACCAACAATGGCACTACCTCTTCATAGACTGCTGATATGTCCCGGAAAGGAACGAAGTAGTTAAGTGGTTTTGGCTACTATAACCAAGTAGAATATGGTAGCAGTAATCGATTGGTACGCGTCGTAGTCGCAGGGAAGAAGTGTATATCAATGGCGGAGTCCAATAGTCGTCGTTATCGACTTAGCTCTCAGACTAAGGCTTTCGATTCTCCTACACGTCCGTCGGTATTTATGACGGACACCAGCCAATCATATTCCAGTGAGGGAGAACACAGGTGTACGCGTCTTGTATTATATCAACTTCAAAAATATTTTGATAGAATTTTGGTAAGAATTAATAGATATAATAGAGAACCATTTTGAGCTCCATCAGTATGGCTTATGGTAACCTCCAGACGACTAACTTATTATGCATTATTGGTCTCACATTTTCTACTGAAACAATTTGGAATGATTATATCGAATCAATTGCTAGGTCTGCTATTAAGTTGTTTCCTTGTGTCGTGACAATTATTCTCGTCTTGCTCGTTTATAATCTACCATTCGCCTTGGTGTCGTTTTTCCTCTGTGTTTTCTATAATTATTTTCATGGTAGTTGTTCTAATTGGCCTTCCTCCTTCGTACCTTGACTGCATGAATTTAAGTGCAGTACTGAATTGGCAAGTAGGTCTCATCGTTGTACTGTAGAAATATTTATATGCAACCGTATGTTATATTCTAAGAGTTTCTTTTCTCCAACTTCTCGGTTACTAAAATCTTCGCTTTCTTTATTCGCTGACATCTGCCATCTTCAAAGATTTAAATGCATCGGCAATTGCTATACTCCTGAAACCTGTTCTTTTACTGTCTTTTCAATACACTAAATTCTTCTTATTCTCTTTCCTTCCTAGTAATCCTTTGTGTCTTATTGTCTTACTTGGGGTGAAATTATTAAAAAAATGGGTAAGAATTTGAGTTATATCATCCAGGCAGTCAGCACGGTACTATTCAATGGCTCGATAGGAATGTTGTTCCACGCGTCATTTGCTGTATGTAGGGTTGTCTTTTATCCATTACGCTCTTTAACATCTTCTTGAAGAACGCTAAAACGCAGCATATATTGGAAGTCGCAAGTTCAGGAACCCAAGCTGATGGTCTAGCTCTCATAGAAGGAGGAACTCTTAAAGTTTAGTGAAGAAACTTGAGGTATCCTTCAGATATGGAATTAGAGATTAATGTCGAAAAATCAGACAAATTAACAGACAATGAGAAAGGGCTTTCAAGCAAGATAAAAGTCGGTCGGCAAGAACTTAAAATAGTTAAACAATTCAAATATCTTCGTCCGACCATAATGGAAGAAGTTTCCTTAATAGAAATAATCCCAATAAAAGCACAAACAGGGGAAGCTGTCGTAAAACTACGAACATCTTCTTGAAATCAAGTATCAACCACTTATACCCAACATCTTTCCTATTCTTTCTGTATATCTTGGATTTAAAAGCAGAATTTTAAGGGAGAATCGCAGATACCATAGAAGTATCCTAGTCATCTGTTACGTTTAACGCATTACAGATGGCCTAGTGTGAAGCATCAGGCAAGAAACGTCATTTGGAAGACCTCATGACTGCCCTCAGGAAGAAGAAGTTGAAATGCTACGGACATGTTCACATCCGGCCTACAAGGTTCCACTATAAGCAAAAGCAGAACCGGTAGATAGATGGAAAAAAATAGACTTACAACATCACTGAGTGAACTGGAATATCCTTCACAGAGACTCAGACATTGTCGTATAAATAAGACATGCGGAGAGAGTTGACCAGGTACTCAGATGCACAGCGGCCATAACACCTCATCAAATCAGCAGCTACCCCTTTTTGTAGTTTATGCCACGTTTCATCAGCCCTAAGATCCTCAAACATTAGTCGAACAATATCTCCATCATTAATAACATTGTTAATATAACTTAATTTATCTACTCGATTCTAGCTACACGGATGCGTCAGAAAATTTATTTATTCAAGCCGATTGTATTAGCCTCCATTTTCCTATTAGAGCGATGCACTTATTGAATGAGATAAGATGCTAAATTTGGTTCCAGGTGGTAGCACTGACAGATAATACTTTAATGGGCACCGTACTATATAAGCATGTCTGGGGCTTTACAGAATTATATTTATCATCGAAATATATCTATCAGAATTAATGGATAGTATTAGTAATCCTTCTACTGAATTAGTAAAATGGCACACGTGTGTCCGTTTATCCGAAGAACAGGTTAGAATTTCCATGCACACTTTCACCATGTCTGAGACTATACAGAATTATTTCAGTGAAAAATATTTTGAATTAATGAGTAACCAGTGTAGTGAATGAAATAAGTGGGTCTGGTGATTCCATCTAAAAGTTAACAGCTTAGTGACTGCTGTTAAAAGAAAGAAAGAAAGAAAGAAAGAAAGAAAGAAAGAAAGAAAGAAAGAAAGAGTAAAAAGTATAATGCTGAAAGAAGGAAAGAAAGAAAAATAAAAAGGAATAATGAATGAAGGGAAATAGAAAAAAGAAAAAGTAATACTGAGAAAGCGATAGAGAGAGAGAGAAGAAGAAGAAGAAGAAGAAGAAGAAAAAGAAGGGAAAGAAAGAAAGAGGAAAAAGAAAGAAAGAAAAAAGGGAAAAAGTAATAACGAAAGAATGAAATATTGAAAGAAGGAAAACAAGAAAAAAAATAATACCAAAAGAAAGAAATATTGAAAGAAGGAAAGAAAGAAAAACGACAAAATAAATACTGAAAGAAACAAAGAAAAAAGAAATAAACAAAAAGTTAATAGTGAAAGAAAGAAAGAAGAGAAAAAAAGAATGCTGAAATAAAGAAAATAAAAGGCGAAAAGTGTTACTGAAAGGAAGAAAGAAAGGAAGGAAGAAAGAAAGAAAGAAACGGCAAAAAATACTGAAAGAAAGAAGAAAGTAATATTGAAAGAAAGATATACTATAAGAAAGAAAGAAAGAAAGAAAGAAAGAATGAGAAAAATGAAATATTAAAAGAAAAAAGGAAGAAGAAGGAAAAAAGAAGTACCGAATGAAATAAATAAAGAAAAAAGTAATACTGAAAAGGGAGAAAGAAAGAAAGAAAGAAAGAAAAAGAAAAGAAGACATAATGAAAGAAAGAAAAAGGAAAAAGTGATACTGAAAGAAAGAAAAAGGAAAAAGGTTATACAGAGAGAAACAAAAAAGAAAGAAAGAAGGAAAGAAGGAAGAAATAAAAAGAGAACATATTACTGAAAGAAAGAGAAATGTTATACTGAAAGAAAGGCATACTTTAAGAATGGAAGAAAGAAATGAAAAAAAAAACACGAAATACTGAACGAAAGAGAAAAAGCAAAAAAAGCAAAAGGTAATCCTGAAAGAAAGACATATTGAAAGGAAGGAAGAAAAAAATAATACCGAAAAAAAATTAGAAAAGAAAAAAAGAAAACGAACAACTATTGTTGAAAGAAAGAAGGAAATACTGAAAGAAAGAAAAAAACTGAAAGAAATGCTAAAAGAATGAAAGAAAAAGAAAAAAAGAAATACTGAACTAAAGAAAAGTAAAAAAAAAAGTAATAATGAGAGAAAGAAATACGGAAAGGATGAAAGAAAGTAAGAAACAAAAAAGAAAAAAAAGAAATACTGAAAGAAAGAAAAAGGGAAAAAGAAATATTGAAAAAAGAAAGAAAGAAAGAGAAGGAAAACTAATATTGAAAGCTAGAAAGAAATGCTGAAAGAAAGAAAAAGGGAAAAAGAAATATTGAAAAAAGAAAGAAAGAAAGAAAGAAAGAAAGAGAAGGAAAACTAATATTGAAAGCTAGAAAGAAATGCTGAAAGAATGATAGAAAGAAAAAACGCCGAAAGAAAGAAAAAGGAAAACTAATAGCGAAAGAAAGAAAAAGAAAAAAGAATACTCAAAGAAAGAAAAAAAAATACTGAAAGAAAAGAGAAAAAAAGTACTCGAAGAAAGAAAGAAATAAGAAGAGAAAGAAAAAGCTAACACCTATTACTGAAAGAAAGAAAGAAAGAAAGAAAGAAAAAACTAATACTGAAATAAAAAATACTGAAAGAAAGAAAAAATAAAGAAAGAAAGAAAGAAAGAAAAAAATGAAAAACTATTACTGAGAGAAATAAATAAATACTGAAAGAAAGAAAGAAAAATACCGAAATTTCCTTCTGTATTTTTCTTTCTTTCTTTCAGTATTTCTTTCTTTAGTTCTTCCAGTAATAGTTTTCGTTTTTCTTTCTTTCTTTTCTTATTTTCTCTTAAAAAAGAAATACTGTCAGAAAGATAGAAAGAAAGAATTGCTGAAAGAACGAAAAAAGAAAATCTGATACTGATTGATAGAAATATAGAAATACTAAAGGAAATAAAGAAAAAAGAAAGAAATAGTACAGAAAGAAAGAAAGAAAGAAAGAAAGAAAGAAAGAAAGAAAGAAAGAAAGAAAGAGGAAAGTGAGAAAGATGAAGTAGAGGAGACAGAATATTAGAAAATAGAGAGAGAGGCAGTGGACGAGAAAAAGGAGAGAAAAACAAATAAAAGAAAAATAAAGAGAAAGAAAGAAAGAAAGAAGAAAGAAACAAACAAACAAACAAAGGAAACAAAGGAAGCATGCCAAGTTGCACCAAAGAAAAGAAACAGGATCTTGTTGTTCCTTGCAAATGTTAACAGGTTACTTTCGGTATGTTGAACAAAGAAAGCAAGCAAACAAAAAAGAAAGAAAGAAAGAAAGAAAGAAAAAGAAAGAAAGAAACAAACAAACAAAGAAAACATAAACTAACAAACAAAAAATAACAAAGCAGGCAATTCAGAAACAAAGAGGAAATAAAAAAAGAAAGGTAAATGTTGTGGTAGGATCCACCTAATTCGCATAGTGGAGTACTGACCATATAAATATGGTTGATACCGGGAAGAGAGGGAGGAATCAAGAAATTCAACCAGAGACTCTGCCCGACTGCGACTTAGTCAACATATTCTCCAGGAACGGTCTTACCAGGAATATACAAAAGACTATATGTAAATATTGTGTACACTTTCTTGTTTCAATACATTTTGTTCTAAGTACATTTTGTGTTGCATTATTATTCCATGCATTAGTCAAGTTTCAACAGTAAAACAAAAAAGGAAAGAAGAAGTAAAAAAGAAATACTAAAAGAAGGAAAAGACGGAAAGACAACAAAGAGAGCAAGCAAAGAGGTAAGAAAGGGAGGAAAATAAAAAAAAGTAAGGAAAATAACGAAAATAAATAAATAGACAAACAAAATAGGCAATAAAGAAAAAGAAAGAAAGAAAGAGAAGAAAGTAAGTAATAAAGATATATAAGTGTAAGAGAAAAACCAGAAATAAAGAAAACGTGTTTCATAATAAACAAGAACTATAAAAGCACTGCAAATGTTCCAAAGAGTAACAAGAAAAAAGAGAAATTGACAAAAAGAGAAAGAAGGAAAAGAAAATTATATGCACACTGACAAATAAAATGAAAATCAATACAAATATATATATATATATATATATATATATATATATATATATCCAAATATATGATTGGTGTATAGGGAATTAATTCCAATAACCAACAATTACTATTCTTAAAAGAGTGCTCAATACAAAATAAAGCAGATATAATTATTTATTTAAAAAAAAATTATAACATAAATATGTTATAAAATCACTGCACAAATAGCCATTTTGTTTCAACACCCTCGGTGTCTTATCAAGTGATGATGTTGAGTGCAAAATAAATGGTTTTAAAAGTTTCAAATTAACAATCCTTCACAAGGGGAAAACGTTGTTACAAAAGCTAGATTGGCCAATCAAAATACACGTATAGGAAAATTTAAAAAGCTTGACAACGAAGTCATCTTATAATATCTATTCAGATAGGTAGTATTAAAAAAGAATTTATTCCAAACCAATAATTACTAAATTATGTTATAATTTTTTTTTAAATAATTATATATATATATATATATATATATATATATATATATGAGACAGAGAGTATTTTTATCAATTAAAAAGTTATTATAGTGGATAGTCGTATTTAAAATAAACACCCTATTTTTATTTTAAGTAGTGTCTATTTCAGCAATAAGGCAGTAGTTTCGAGAAATATTAAATTAAAAAAAAAGATGCAGTGTTCGGCAAAGGGTCGAAGCTGTATCTTACTTTTATAGGAGAAACGACTATGCAATCTGGCGTGCTTTACCATTCGGCTACGAAGAACGTTACGGCCCAGTGAGCTTCTGTTTTTCCCTTTTTAAGAAAAGCACATCTTCACGTTCAGCTTTTCTCGAAAACCCTTATCTGTTCAGTTACATATATCTAAAATAAAAAGAAAATATAAGAACGGATAAAAGGAAGAAAAAAAAAAGAAAGAGATGAAAGAAACTAAAAATGAAAGAGTACGAAAAAGGGGAAATAGATGAAGAAAAAGAACGAGAAAGAGTGAGACGGGAAAGAAAGAGAAGGGACAAGGATGATAGAGAGGAATAAGCTATAAAGGAGTGAAAAGAAGAATAAAAATAAATGGTGTTCCATTGATCGTTTGTTTAACGGCACATCGACTTCTTATGGGTCATTTAATCCCGAAAGTTAATTTCCTTGGCAAATTTGAAGTAATAAAAATATATGTTATCTTCCTTTAACAATTGAGTACATGGTAGTTTTTGTGCATATGTGTGGGCAATAAATTACTAGAGGCGATAATAAGTGTGTTTTATGTTGTTTTGTTGAAATTATATTTTGGAATACAGTTTGATTTATTTTAGATATTGTAAGATATTATATGGATTAATATCATGAAAGGATTCTTTCATGCTATCTGTTTGGGTGGTTGACTTTATTTAGCAGCATATCAACACCTCTGTGGGTTATTTAATGCCGAAATCGAAATAATTTAAACACAATTTTATGGCTTCAACTAAATATATTTTGAACGCAATTGTATGCCTTCAACTACAGATGACATGTATCGTTTTTCATTTTGCTTCAAAATTCTACTATAAAATGTATTGTTCGTAATTTTACCATAAATATGTATTGCTGGTAACTTCACCATATATATGAATTTTTGCTTTGGTTTGCTTTGTTTTACGGCATATAAAACTCAATGGATTTTTTTAATGTCGACGAAAGTTTTACAATAGATTCTTATGAATAGAATATATATTCTTTCTAAGATATCCATTTGTAGATCAGGTTTCACTGACGTATTTTTGTAAGAAGGATTTTTGTCGAGAGTCTGGTTTCATTGATGTATTCTTTACAAATATACAGTTTGCAAAGAAATCGATTTTATTTATATTCTCATTTGGTTTATATTTTTTGGAAGAGGGCGACTGTTTTAAGAAATTACATTGTGTCATCAACTTTAGTTTTCTCAAAGTGTCCATACATGTTCAATTTATAACATTTTTGGCTTGAGAGAGCCAGCTCTGAAACACTCGGTTAATATATGTTTAATATTGTATGCTGTTTCACATGCTTGGCATACTGACAGGATCTTCGTTGTTTAGCAAGTACGTGTGGGTTATTCTCGTGTGGCCAACGTGTAATCGGGCCAGTACTACTTTTTTCAAGATTTTCTGAAAGCCGACTTCCATTCACTTTGTTTGGGCTGAATTTCGAAGAGCTTATTGTGTAGATTATCGTCCCAGCACCGTTGCCATTCCTTTTGAATGTATTTCTTAATGACTTCCTTAAGGTCAGTGTATGAGATTTTCGTCATTGGATCTACATCCAAATCAAAAGCAGATTTGGCTCCTAGGTCTGTTTTATTTTTAATTTCCACTCCGTCGTGTTCATTTTGCATAATAGTTTAATAATGAATGATGAGTTGGATTTTTTTTTCCTTCAAAGCCGTTAGGACGAATAGTGAGTCCGAAAATATGAAGAATTTTTTTTTTTAAGCTATGTGATGTTGAGAGCTATTTCTCTTGAGTAAACCTCCGCATGAAAAAAATACACCTACTCTCTGGGAGGCGTTTTTTTTTTAGTGTAATATTTTAACTCACTGCCGCACACACTGTCTCGTTCTCCTACTTTGATCCGTTTGTAAAAATGCTTGTATGTTTCGAGTAGTTTTCCAATATATCCTTAAACTTGACCTAGAATACAAGTGGGTGAATTTTTTATTTAGAGAGTTTATTTAATTCGAGGAAGACTTCGAGCTGTTTGATTGTCCATCGTAGAATACTGGCTGCAGTCGTTACCTGTATATTTAAAAATAAGCTCCTTAACTCTTCATCGATAGATTTCACCCTGAGTCCACACGATTGCGTTGTATTTTCTATTTTGTTCGAATAGATCACAGTAATTAGACTTAAACGTATCGCTGAAAACTGGGTTAGTTGGGCATGATTTTATTTAGACATAGTATTTTAGTGGCAGTTTAGTGCGTCTTAAATCTGGGGGTATTTCATTAGCGTCTGTGTATAAGCTCTCCACTGGGGATATCTTTAACGTCCCAAATACTAGTCTTGATAATCGGTTGCGTTGAGTAGTTAAGGTGTGATTTTCTGACCGCGTTATATATGAAACTAGCGTAATCCAGTTTTGAGCGAAGTAGTGATCTGTATAATTAATGTTTATCTATCTAAACCCCATTCAGTATGGGCTACCATACGCTGGAGTTTGAGGACTTTACTACATTTTAGTTTTAAATATTTTAGATGGAGAATGAATTTTAATTATTTGTAAAAGATGATGTCTAGGAACTTGTGTTGTTCTACTACAGGGATTTCTGCTGTCTAATTTTAAACAGGGATCTATGTATAATTTTCTTAATTTGCAGAAATGTAGGCATTTCGTTTTCGATTTAGAAAAATGAAACCATTTTCCGTGGCCCATTTGTGCATTTTATTGAAACATTGTTGGATTTGTCTTTCTATAGTATGTATAAATCGAGATCTGCATATTATTCGAGAGTCATCGACATATATGTAGTATCTCACTCCTGGGCTTAGAGATTTAATTATGGAGTTAATTTTGACGCGGAAGAGGGTTTCCGAAAGAATGCTTCCTTGTGGAACCCCTTCATCTTGATTTTACAGTTTTGATAGCGTAGTTCCTATACGGACTTGAAATATTCGGTCTTCCAGGAAATCCTCAGTGAATTAAGTCAGTCTTTCTTTTAGACCAAATTCATGCAGGTCTTTCAAGATACTAAATTTCCATGTCGTCTAATTCAAAATGAACTGCTGTGAGATGTTCCTTCTTAATAAAGCCTTCCCTTACAGAGGTTTCTTGGCGTATTAAATGGTCTATGGTCTTCTTCCCTAAAAGTAAATTGGAAGTCACTGTTTAAGCATTTAGTGTCCAGACAGCAAGTAAACCTGTTGTTGACTATTTTCTCCATAGTTTTACATAAGCCACGGTTTAATTCTATCAGTCTGTAGATTTCAGGGTTTGTGTCATCCTTTCCAGGTTTTGGAATAGGGATGATGAATGCTTGTTTCCACATTTGTGGGAAGTTGCCATTTGTTCATATGAAATTATACATTCCTAATAACAGTTGTAATGATTTGTTGGGTAAATGTTTTATAAATTCGTAGTTGATGTCATTTGGAATAACGGCTGTCTTGGAAAGCTTTCTTTATAGATTCATTTAATTCCTTCAGAGTGGATGGTAGATTATAATTCTCGGTATTTTGGTTTGAGTTTTAAAATTGTTAGCTGTCATTCTTTCAAGCTTGAAGTTTTAGAGATTGTTTTGGATAGTTGTTTAGCGATATCCTATACTGCTTATTTTGGAGATATTTATCGAGGAGTATTTTATAGTGTTTCTTTGGTATTTGCCTGCTATTTTCTTTATCGTATTTCAGATGGATGTTTTTTTTGTAGCAGAATTAAGCCTGTTGACGTTGTTTTTCCGGCATTCTTTTTTGGTTTCTTTAATTTTTTTTCGTACTTTTGCTCGGAGTTGCTTTGAGGCTGTAGTTTGTTTCATAAATCTCTCTGAGCTTGCTGGCTTTTTTACATTTATCATTGAACCAGGGTCAGTTGCGTTTTGTTTTTATTCGTGCTGAATTTTTTAGAATGCATTTTCCTTCTCTAGTGACGAGGATTCCTGTGAAATGTGCAAATTCTTTGTTTTTTCCTTCAACGCGTTTTTCAGAAAATTGGTTTTTAAATTCTTTCCAGTTGGCCCTGCCTAAAGAGGATTTTTGTCATTATTGTCTGAGTTTTGTATGACGATTGGGCAAGTGATCGCTACTGCATGGATGTCTGCCAGTACCGTCCAAGAGAAATCCATATAGATTGATGAATCACGTAGGGATAAATCTATTGCCGAGTAGCTGCCAGAAAATGAATTTATGTAAGTCGGGGATTATCATTAAAAATACATAAATCATTTTTATAAATTGGTATTTCTAAGGTGCTTCCATTTTGGTTTGTGTCTTTACAAACCCTTTGGTGCTGTGACAGTTAATGTCCCCTACTATCATAAAAGGCGCTGGGCATTGCCTTATGATTCCCTGAATTTACTGGTGCATTCGGTTGGATACATAAGGAGCAATTGTTTATTGGTTTGTATAGGGTCACTTAACAGCAGTCACCTGTAAAATTGTTAAATTTATTTTACTTTGCTGTACATCCTTCCTAACTAAGATGGATGTAACGCCTGACGATCGAAGCCCAGTGTCATGTATGTAGTTGTATTGATGTTATTCATTTATATAAAGTTTGTTATTTTGCTTAAATAATGTTTCCTGAAGGCAAACAACCGCCAGTGACAGATCTGTTATTAGCAAAAACAGTTCATATATGTTTGCTTTTATTCCGAGCCGGTTCCATTGGATTATTTGATACATGCTTGCATACATTTGGGGGATTTAGATTAGTATATGCTGGCGTATATTAGTACATGCTTGCATAGATTTGGGGGATTTAGATTGGTATATAGTTGTGATTTAATTTTCTGAGGTTTTGTGTATGGAGGCCTTTTACCGTTTGTAGGTGCTGGCTTTTGACCTCTATTTGTTTCAGATTATTAAATCGGTTTTGGGCAGGAATTCGGCCACTGCTAATTTCTGGTTTTTGTTTATTTTTTTTAGATATTGTTCTTTGGGAGATAAGTTCTTAAGTCTATCTTTCACATTTTTTGTGGACGGATAAAGGATTGATTTGACTTTTTTTTTGAAGAATATTTTGTATCCTTGGAGGAGTTCTTTGTACTTGAGCGGTAGATTTTGTATTTGGTATTTCTTTAAATATTATTTCAATTCTTCCATTTCTTTTTCTTTTTTTATTTCAGTCTGCACTATGTCCTTGGAGTATGTCTTTCAGGTTGTTTTGAAGTTTAAAATTCAGGTTTATGGTCTTTTAACAACACATCCTTTGTGATTAATTTAGTAACTCTATCACTCTTAAATTTACTCACGTTAAATTGCCTGTGATTTTTTTAGCTGAAGTGTTGATATGATTTATATAATTAAAATTGTCAATATTTACTTTTTTTATATAACTATTCTTCATGCTGTCCTTTATGAGAGTATTATACTGTTTAGGACTCATTTTATAGAAATTAGAGGTCTTATCGGATTTTACAAAAATCTGATCTGACTTCCTTATTTTATATTTCGAACCAACCTGTTCAAATGTTTTTGGGAATTTATTTGTCCGGTATTGCAAGGTGATGTTATTTATAATAACATATAAGTCCTTCTCAAAGTTTACGAGTTTGTCGATACGAGGTGCTGTATTCCGGTTTATAAACCCATAAATATCCTTTGTGTTGTGAGTTCCTTTGTGTATATATATATATATATATATATATATATATATATATATATATATATATATATATATATATGGGAGAGTTGCATGATAATTTCATCGAGTTTCTCGCTGAATATTGATCGCAATTTTTTCCTGCGCAACGTCCAATCACCGTGGCTAACATTTACCACTGGTTATGTGCATTGAAGGAGGAAGGGTTTTGCAAAAGGAAAAAATATAAGCTTTATTCAAGTGAAATATGAAACTTAATCATTCTGATCGCACTTTCCAGTGAAGCGGACGAAATTACTTCCTCCCAGCTCATATATATATATATATATATATATATATATATATATATATATATATATATATATATATATATATATATATATATATATATATATATATATATATATATATATATATATATATATATATATATATATATATATATATATATGGGATATATATATATATATATATATATATATATATATATATATATATATATATCTCTCTCTCTATATATATATATATGTATGTATATATATATATATATATATATATATATATATATATATATATATATATATATATATATATATATATATATATATATATATATATATATATATTGAAACTTATTAAATCATTTTCCTCTCGTAATCAGTTTTCCTTCACATGCCGTCAAATCATTTCTCTCAATCGTATTCATATCTGCGAAACGTAAGAGAAAATCTAGCCGCCTGCTCTTTCATTCTGCCATTGATATTTTCATAAAAAATTACATATATTCTCCCGACATCTTTTTTTTTTCTTTGGTGGTGAGTGGTATGTTCCCAGACCCCACTGTCCTTGCTTATTTTCCGCCCTTGTTAACATTCCACTGCCGCCAAAACAAAAAAGTTACCAACATGCAGACGCAAGACGATAAAGATTTCTGTGACGTCGACAATGGGCAGAGAGCAAATAGGTTTGTCAATAACAATTTCAACTATTTTTAATAATCATTTTCATGTGCGTGTCTTTTATTTTTCATTCGTTGTTTTTATTTCTTTCATGTTATGGAGGGCATATATTGTCCCTTGTCCAGATAATATCCATTATGGCGGCTGTTTCTTTTGTACTTTTAACTCTTGTAGACTTTGGCAATGTTAGAATGCTTGGAAATGTCGCCATTTTGTTGTTTTTTTCTTACTTGTTAGAAATTATATTGGACTGCAAGGGAAATGAAAAGTGAAAATGAATTAAATATAAATGTAAAAATTTAAGTATCAGCAAACAAAAAGACAGCGTACAAGCACGCACGTGAATACGGAGATCGTGATAGATAGATAGATAGATAGATAGATAGATAGAGAGAGAGAGAGAGAGAGAGAGAGAAACGCACGTGAATACAGAGATCGTTATAAAATATATATATATATATATATAGAGAGAGAGAGAGAGAGAGAAATGTGAACAGACTGAGATAGATAGATAGATAGATAGATAGATAGAGAGAGAGAGAGAGAGAGAAAGAGAAACGCACGTGAATACATAGATCGTCATAAATAGATAGATAGATAGATAGATAGATAGAGAGAGAGAGATGTGAACAGACTGAGATAGATAGATAGATAGAGAAAGAGAGAGAGAGAGGAAGAGAGAGAAACGCACGTGAATACAGAGATCGTCATAAATTGATAGATAGATAGAGAGAGAGAGAAATGTGAACAGACTGAGATAGATAGAGAGAGAGAGAGAGAGAGAGAGAGAAAGAGAAACGCACGTGAATACATAGATCGTCATAAATAGATATATATATATATATAGAGAGAGAGAAATGTGAACAGACTGAGACAGATAGATAGATAGATAGATAGATAGATAGATAGATAGATAGATTGCTGGAATATTCTTCCTTTACTATCGAATTTTTTTTTTTAGATATTTTTACTATGAGAATATAATTTATACTTTCATGATGATTTGGCCCCAGTTAAACGGGTCATTATTTGCCCATAGCTGGGACCCTAATCGGTTCTACTACCCCGGGTCAATGTGGACCTGGGAAAAATAGCAATTAAGAGGTGGTTCCATTCTCCTTAAAACCTTTTGTGCACTTGCTGCCGGATGTAATATATAGTCATACCCAGGACGAGAGATATAGGAAAATAAATAAATAATAGAAAGGAAATTGAGAAAATTTCAGAGAAAGATTAATATAATGAAGCATTTGGTCAGGGAAGCAATCATATTCACCAACTCCGATGGGAAAACTGTCCTATTTACAACAATATCCGTAATATCTTAAAGAGAAAGAAAACACATTAAAAAAAATTAATGGGGGAATTCAACGCAAATTTAGAAGGAAAAATGATGAAGAAGTTTTCGGAATAATATTTGATGCAAAGAAGTGAAGTAGAGAAGACAAATATGATTTTTCCCGGTGGATACGAACTGGCAAACGTGTATATTTTTCCCAACACGAATGCACTTGAAAAAGTCCCAATGAAGAAACGAAAATGAAATGACTCATAATTGATAATACATACAGTATCGTTAAAAATCGTACCATCCTAAACCAAGTTAACATAGGAGGAAGTCATAGAAGAATAGCTTGACAGTAACATTTGAGAAAAATAATTGTTCTGTGCAGGTAGCATCAAAATTCACGATTTTTTTCTAAATGGATACAAAAATACAAGAAAAAAGACTCTGTCTCTTTTATAAAATAACAAAAATTTAAGTGTACTGTATCTAAAATATGCAAGCCGAAGCAATGTACCTGAATACAGAGCAGATTTTTGAATTTGTTAATTACACTTAGAGTTCAGCACACCACTTTACTCTGTATATACTTAGAAATGAATTATAAATGTTACAGATGGTGTGAAGATTTAATTAAGGTTATCTGAAAGCTGGTTTACACAAACTCATTACACGCGTTGAATGCCTGTTTGTTTTTTTTAATCGAGTTCACCCTAAGTAAGACAATAAAGCCACTGAGACGCAATGGGGTTACTGGGTGTGGAAGATATAGAAACAGAAACATTGCTGAGGAAGAGAGAACAGAGGAAGAGTATAACAGCGGGATAACAGATTACTATTGACATTGCATTTTTAATTTTGAAGATTAAAGTTGGTTGGAAGGCATGGGCTCGGAAAGATGGTTCTCTAGTGAGAATTGCGAGAAAAGAAACTGTTAACATACAACATACGGTTATATAGAGCCAACTCAACTATAAATTGGGGAGACCACGTCGCCAAGCTACAAGTACAAATGTCATCTTACTTTTCTGTTATATCGATTTAAATTTAACTAGTTCTATTTTTAATCGTTTGGTATAAGACTATATATTTTTGATGTTGACATCCTAAGAAGAAAAAAGTTTTACACGAAGAATATTTCACAGAAAAAAAATATCAAAATATATTTTTCCGTTTTCTAATATTTTTGGAACCATTTTTATTGTAAGTTGATGACCCAACTATTTACCCCTGACGTAATAGTGAGTAATGTTCGACAAAGTAAAGCTGGCAGCTGCTCTCGAAAATAACCCCCAATCATTTGTTAATTGAAGCAACAAATAACCTGTTCATTTTAACACATCTAAAACGAAACTAGTATCCTTTAATCTCATTATAAAGAACCGTTTTCCACTCCATCAACATGGCTGAAGTAGAGAAGACAAATGTGATTTTTCCCGGTGGATACGAACTGTATATTTTTCCCAACACGAATGCACTTGAAAAAGTCCTAATGAAGAAACGAAAATGAAATGACTCATAATCCAGGAAAGCAACTCTTTGTGTCTTCTTCCTCTCGCGTTTTCTACTGACATGGAGAGGAGCGGTTTTATCGAAATAATTGCTGATTCGGCTATTAAGAAGTTTGGTTCAATGTATCGTGCCAAACAATTTTTCTTGCCTGAATCCATCTGGTACATTTATAAATCTATCATCCGTACGTGCATTTAATAATTCTGCAACGTCTGGTCTTGGCTTCCGGCTATATATATATATATATATATATCTCGAAATATTTCAATGTCAGTTGTGTTAATGAGGTCTACTCTTTCGTACATCGACTTTATGAATTTAATTGTACTGCTATATTGGCAGGTAGGTCTCACCATTTTACTGTTAAAATAGCTAGATGTTACCGTGAGTTCTCTTATAATTATTTAATTTCTCGCACTTCTCGATTGTGGAACTCTGTTCCGGTTTCTCGTTTCAATGCCACCTACGATCTTCAAACAATGCAACGTCAATCGCCATCTTCCTGAAACCTGTCAAATGATTGTCCTTGATTCAAATCTACCGTCTCCCAGTAACACCTTGCGTATTAGGGCGTTATCGCCCTAAAACGATCAAGAAAGAAAATGCATGTCAGTAACAAGTGGAATATATTTTGTCTTTTTCTTTTTTCCTAACAGTTTATGTAAATATGATTACTTCGTTTCTTAATGCAGAAACACCGTTAAGACGCAGGACCAATGCAAATGAAAAGGAAACTTAGCAGGAATAACGACACTAAGTTTGTCTTCTTTTTTTTTTTAAATAAAATTCTATTTATGAAAACAAAAACATTTATAAATTAAAAAAAAAATACTTGTTAAAACAAACATTTCTTAGTTATAAGTTTTCTCTATTAAATCCTTTCTGGAATTTAGGTCGATCTAATTTTAAAGAAAAAATTTAAAATTATATTCTCTTTATGAATATCTGTGATCGATGATTCGAGATCCCAGCCGGCGTGGACGAGAAATTCAGCAATTATTTCTCTAAAAGTGTCAGTGAGTTACCTGTATATTACCATAACTTGTATTCGAGTACTTGCGACTTGAGCGATTTCAAGAGCAAAGGTGCCGTTAATCAACGAGATATTGGAATAATCCAACGTCAAATAACATTCAAATTGCCAATTCCACATTCGTCTGGTAATCCTTTGATCATAGAAGTCGCCAATAAAAGAGAAAGTTCAACCTGAGTCATCAAAAAGAATTTCTTGATAGGAAAAATAGGAAAGGGAACATGTCAAAATACAATCTTTTTTTTTTAGCCATGCTAGAATTTACCGTCGAAATGAGGCCGAAATGACAATATGTCTTCTTTTGTGCTTAGTACATCATCATCATCATCATTATAGCACCACCAACATCATCATCATCATCAACACCACTACCACCACCATCATCATCATCATCATCACACTTCTTCTTCTTCTACTTCTTCTATGTGCTGTATTCTTTCAGGACCGTACCGATCATGACTCTGCAATTCACTGACCTTTATAGCTCAATAACTTTTGTCTCTATGCCATTTCTCCCAAACCCTGATCCGACATCTATTCGTTCAAGCTGACCAGCTAGTTTGTGTGTTGCTTCCCTCTGACCCTCTTCAATCAGTCCTGAGACTATCATTTCCTCGTTATAGGACCTAGAAATTTCAACTCTTTTTATTGTCACTGTCTCTAGAACTTCGTCGTTGCTCACGTGTTCGGTTTATTATATTCTCAGCATCCTTCTGTAGAACCACATTACTGTTTTTTGAACCCTCTTCTTCAATCGTCAGGAGATTGTTCAGCATATAAGAGGACTGATACTACGTAACAGTTTAGTACCCTTTTCTTTGGTTCGAATGATTTTTCCAGTTTCTTAATACTTTGCTCGACATTAGGAACGCATATTAGGGAATCAATGTAATCAGAAGAAATCCATTCACAACGAAAGTCAATATTGAACGAAGAAAATATTCGTCGATTAAAAGATGGAATTCAGGGAATCTCATTATTTTTTTAGATTTTTTTTTACGCTTAACTTTATTGTCTATTAGCAATTGAGTACAGAATTCTAATTTTTTACGCTTGACTTTATTGTCTATTAGCAATTGAGTACAGAATTCTAATTTTTTACGCTTGACTTTATTGTCTATTAGCAATTGAGTACAGAATTCTAAATTTTTACGCTTGACTTTATTGTCTATTAGCAATTGAGTACAGAATTCTAATTTTTACGCTTGACTTTATTGTCTATTAGCAATTGAGTACAGAATTCTAATTTTTTTTTTACGCAATTGACTTTATTGTCTATTAGCAATTGAGTACTGAATTCTAATTTTTCTTAATTTTTACGCTTGACTTTATTGTCTATTAGCAATTGAATACAGAATTCTAATTTTTACGCTTGACTTTATTGTCTATTAGCAATTGAGTACAGAATTCTAATTTTTTACGCTTGACTTTATTCTCCATTAGCAATTGAATACTGAATTCTAATTTTTACGCTTGAATTGTTTTAGCAAGGCTTGACTTTATTGTCTATTAGCAATTGAGTACAGAATTCTAATTTTTTACGCTTGACTTTATTGTCTATTAGCAATTGAGTACTGAATTCTAATTTTTACGCTTGACTTTATTGTCTATTAGCAATTGAGTACAGAATTCTAATTTTTTACGCTTGACTTTATTCTCTATTAGCAATTGAGTACAGAATTCTAATTTTTTACGCTTGACTTTATTGTCTATTAGCAATTGAGTACAGAATTCTAATTTTTTACGCTTGACTTTATTGTCTATTAGCAATTGAGTACAGAATTCTAATTTTTTACGCTTGACTTTATTCTCTATTAGCAATTGAGTACAGAATTCCAATTTTTTATTAGCAATTGACAGAATTTAATTTTTATTAGCAATTGCAATTGAGTACAGAATTCTAATTTTTTACGCTTGACTTTATTCTCTATTAGCAATTGAGTACAGAATTCTAATTTTTACGCTTGACTTTATTGTCTATTAGCAATTGAGTACAGAATTCTAATTTTTCCTATTAGCAATTGAGTACAAATTCTAATTTTTCACGCTTGACTTTATTGTCTATTAGCAATTGAGTACAGAATTCTAATTTTTTACGCTTGACTTTATTCTCTATTAGCAATTGAGTACAGAATTCCAATTTATTAGGCTTGACTTTATTCTCTATTAGCAATTGAGTACAGAATTCTAATTTTTTTTTACGAATTCTAATTTTTGACTTTTATTGTCTATTAGCAATTGAGTACAGAATTCTAATTTTTACGCTTGACTTTATTGTCTATTAGCAATTGAGTACAGAATTCTAATTTTTTACGCTTGACTTTATTCTCTATTAGCAATTGAGTACAGAATTCTAATTTTTACGCTTGACTTTATTCTCTATTAGGAATTGAGTGCAGAAGAATTCTTTATTTTTTACGGTTAATTTTACGCTTGACTTTATTGTCTATTAGCAATTGAATACAGAATTCCAATTTTTTAGGCTTGACTTTATTGTCTATTAGCAATTGAGTACAGAATTCTAATTTTTTACGCTTGACTTTATTCTCTATTAGCAATTGAGTACAGAATTCTAATTTTTTACGCTTGACTTTATTGTCTATTAGCAATTGAGTACAGAATTCTAATTTTTTACGCTTGACTTTATTCTCTATTAGCAATTGAGTACAGAATTCTAATTTTTACGCTTGACTTTATTGTCTATTAGCAAATTACAGAATTCT